TATGTAATTTTTTCCCATGTATTTGAATAAACGTATTTTTATTCAAATACACAGGATTAATTATTTTATTAAAATACAGGTAATCTTAAATATCAAAAAAAAAAATAGCTCGTTTTATTAAGTCAATTATTTTATTTTATTATTTTAAAAATACTACATACCAACACGCCAAGGCCGTCTGATTCAGTACGCTCTGGGTCTGGGTCCCAGCGATAGGATGTATCACTTTTACCACTACCGTTCGCGTTCGCGTTCATTTACATTGCTAGCGTAAACAAGTGTGTCCCAATTAGCGCGGGACGTCTCGATTTTCAGAGGTTTGGTGACACGTTCCGATTCACCCTTGATTGGGACGCCAAATGTCCCGAATTTTCACTAACCTTCGATGTCTGTATTTCGATCGATTATTTTGATCGCAAAATTGAATATATCTGTAAGCTGTTACTGAGGCTTTTACCCCATTAACATATTTTTGCTTTGAAAATTTCATATTTTCTCACAAAGCTCGGACTAAATAATCAACATCAAAGTTTTTAACTTTGCGTGTAATGAGTTAGCGAAAGACAGATATCAATAATTTTGACTCGTTTTTTTATTATTTAGTTCCTTTACCAGTAGTCAGTACAGTACGTAACTTACATGCTGCTGTTTTGACAAAAAGTGTATAGTTGCGTTGTCACTGCGCTGCAATGGCGCAAGCAACAAACAACAATTGACGCCTGAATCACGTTATTGAAGTTACCAAACGTCTGTAATATAATATATGCCGTTCTGCATTGTTGGTCGTTCTTCAGGCATAGCACCTCGTCTGGTGACAAATCCTCCTTTTACCAACTACGGCCAAATCAACAAAAGTCTTGATTATATAGTTTCTATTTTATTTTACTGTGGAATAGAACAATTAATCTTAGAAACTGAAATTTACACCGTATACAAGGGATATTATCACTAGTTTTTAAGGAATCTTCGGAACAAAGTTTTACCGGACTACCAGTGAAACTTTTTTATTTCTCTTTTACAATGAATACTAGCTGGTCGCGGCGCGTAGCTGCCGCAGAAGAAATAATTATGGATATATCGTTTTAAATTTGGAAGAGTTATATTGCTTAATTAGGAATGATAATACATTCATTGAATTTGAGTGCGCGCGCCACCTTCTGTCTAACAGTATTGTACTATACCAACAGCCTTCGCGCAAGCGCAAGCAATAGGTTAAGAAATCCGAGTTTCGGAGTGTGCGCGCGACTTCTGTCTAACAGTATTGTACTATACCAACAGCCTTCGCGCAAGCGCAAGCAATAGGTTAGACGACACATCGAAAACGCTATCGCCGTACTGATCCGAGTGAATACATAATTTCTATAAAAACTTGAAGAAACGCCGTCATAAGGTCTAAAATTGCGTAGCTCCCGCGACGATTAAAAGCGCTTAGAAATTGTCAGAATCTTAAAATATTTTTTAAAAAAATTATTGATTTTAAGTTATCAAAATAATGAGCAAGTAAATTATGAATATTGATGTTATGAATATATTTGAGTGATTCCCAAGCATATAGATCAAATGATTTCGTTGTAATTTCAACTATAGTGATTTTTAGAGGTGTTTTCGCAAATAATTATGATCGAGTCAAAATTATACAATCGTGTTTTTGAGCAATCAAATTCAAGATAAAGAAATGAATTTACCTATATCAAAATCCCACTTTCGTTAGTGGTGTCATAGTCCTATACTATTCGATGAAAGGAGGTGCATTTTTTCACGGTGTCGCCTTAACAAAGTCTTAGTGTAATCTGATGAAGGTATGGCAGCGCATAAAATATGAACAAACAAACAAACAACAATTTTAATATATTAGATAATAAGAGGGTGACTAACGAATATAAAATCCGTCGGATTGTAAGTGGCCACTGTGACCTGTAGATTTTTTATCCACCCTAAATCAAGAATTAAAACACAGATATATGCCACTTCTGAGGACTAATATGTGGATGATCATTAGACAGGGTTATTTACACTCACTATATGAAACGCAGCTGCAGTGCAAATCAAATACTATTTCACGTCAATAAGCAAACTCATTCGTGGTAAAAATCATAATATAAATATATTTATTACCCTTAATTAATCCGAAATTAGATAACTTCAACAGGTCCCTTGAGAAATAATAATTAGGATGTCAAGGATACAATGTGTTCTGTAATTTAAATTAAAGGAGAGTTAAATTAAGTTGTATCAGATCATAATTCTATTTCAACAAAAAGTTTGTAAATTATAAAATGTATACTTAATTATAGCATTTAAGATGAGACGTGTTATTTATAAAAGTTAAAGGGTTAAAGGTACATCCTATGTACGTCTCACTGCTGGGCATAGTTCTCCTCTTATTTCTATAAGGGTTTTGTGGCAAGGAATTTGTCCGCAGCGCTGCCCCAATACGTGTTTACATCACAACTGTTTATAAAATATAATATGTCAAAGATAAAGGTGAATTAAGCGATTTGCAGAAAAAGTTCTTAGTTTATCAGCCAGTAGCAAATTTCACGAACGCACGTGGCGACAAAACTTACGCAGTATTTGAACTCTTGGCGGTCCACTACTGTACGTTTTATTATAAGTTTTTTTTCCTCGTACTACGCCTGTGTGGAATCGTTTACCACCGGCAATTTTTTCGGAACAATACGAATTAGGGACCTTCAATAAAAGAGCTTACTCCTTTCCAAAAGGCTGGCTGCGCACCTGCGATTCCCCTGGTACGTTGTCTTCTGCAAGGGCTTTTTAGGTTCTGCAGGTCTCGGGTCCCGGGTTATGCCCCATTGTCCAGATTGTCCTCACGGCCCACTTCTATGGGCCGGTCCTAGGAGCCTAATTTAGGCGTTGATGGTTGGACGGTTATTTTTCCGTGGTCGGTTAAAAACATCCCGTTATCGATTAATTTATAAATAAACGGAGGTTGTCTGTTAAGGTCGAAGTTGGCTTGTCTGCGGCATTGTAGATTTTACTCAACTCTCTAAACTATGTAGAGAGGAGTTGCAGTTGATCATGGGCGGCGGTAGTCACTTACCATCAGATGAGCCGCATGCTCGTTTGCCCCCTCTGTAAAAAAAACATACAGCACTCCTTGATTTTCCTGTAGATTTATGTGGCGGCATGAATATCCTCTACTCCATATTGTGCCGTGGTAATCGTAGAAGGCGACAGAGGGAAACCAACCCGGCGATGGGGGAGTAGCGTCTGTTTAATAACAAATAGAATAAAATAGCTGTGGTTTGTCAACCTGCCCGCCAATTACTGCAACCCAAAACTTCCTTATAAAGCAGATTATTGGGAGACAGCCGTGCATTTTGATAGGCTTGTAATTCATAAATTATAGTGTAATAGGATCGCGGCCTATCTTGTATCATGAGAAAACTAGCATTGCACTGGAACAAAATACCTAGATTTATTGTTAACGTTCTGAATTTCTTCACGTGGACTATAAAAAATATTTTTTTTTTTACACTTTATGGCACCTTAATAAAAAATATTACAAAGGCTGTCCTTTAGATGTCTTTAAATGCCTTTAGGCAGTCTCTCCCAGTCAACCCAGGACGTGTGTACCACTAAATAAAATGAACAATAGAGTAAATCAGAGAAAAAAACTATATATATATATATATATATATATATATATATATATATATATATATATATATATATGCACATAAAAATACATAGATACAAAAATATATTCATATTTTAAATACAAATAGATATATAACATAAACCTATAAATAATCCGGTAACAAATTATTACCTATCTCTTATATGAAGTGCTATGTACAATCTTTTAAAGGCTCTTTAAGTTTTGGGAACCTCAATGGTGAGGAAATAAAATAGTAAAATGTAGTGTGATACTCAATTTATCCAAAATTCAGGTACATCAAAATATAGTTGTGCTATAATTAAGCTTTAATTATTTACATAGAAAAAATGTGAGTACTTTTACAAATCTGATCCCGGACTCAAATAAATATTCAAAAGATTTGGATAAGGAAGTCGATGTTCTAAAAATAGATTAAATTAATTTGTTCGTAAGATTTGTTTTACTCTTAAAGGGAAAAAAGTTGAAATAATATTAGACTTTAAAAACAAGTATTGATTACGGGATGTGATGAGCCAAGTAAGAATATTAGGTAATGGTCGTAAAATTATTGTATCGTAATCAGTTTTTAATACATCAGTAATATTTCCCAAAATAGATGTCTGGAAGTGGATAAAAATCCATATCTAGATATCTATATACTGATCAAGCTGTCAAGACCACTTTAAGTGCACATTCGCAGTTTTCAAAATCTTCCTTTAAAATTCATAGATATTTAAAAACATAGATAATGAGGTTAAATATTTTAACGAAATAAATAGATTTCAGATGCAAGAAAAAATGAAATGAATGAAATAAAATGATATTAATGAAATAAAATGAAATGAATGATTTCATTGAATATGTAAAAAAAATTATTAGCTAAGCTCTGCGTTGTAGAAGCTAGCTAATTAATTTTAAACATCCTTAATATATTTAATTCTATTATTTATCTAAAACTTATCTAATATTTTATGGGGCGTTGGTAGCTCAGATGGTTAGCGCTCGCTTAAAGTCACATTACGCGAGCAACACGCGTTCAATCCCCGCCGGCACTAATGAAATTGTTAATTGCAATTTTAAGTGCTAATTTACCACGTGCTCGGTGGTGAAGAAAAGAATCGTGACGTAACCTGCATGTCTGAGAAATAAAATAAACAATTCGAAGACATGTAAAATTCGTAAACACGCATTGAATTTTTTCACTTAAAACGGCAATTTATTATTTAATAAACTTTTAAAGTGTGTACAAATATTAAGCATGGCGATTCAACGACAAAAGTCACTTAGCATTGTCACATAAGTGAAGGATTACAATATAATTAAATTTTTAAAAATTGTAGATTTTTTATAACCATTAACATAAGTGACACTTCATCAGATACTCCTGAGCTGGTTGTCTTAACCACGGTGAAGATGGTCCCGTTACGCTTCGAACTGGAGTATCTAGTCCAGTGCATGGCAACTTGGTCGTCCAACAGTGATCTTGTCTGGCACATTATCAAGATTCTATTTCTTTACACGTAAGTACAGAACTTAGTTCAATAGACGATTTTTTTAGAATAAGCGTGACAAACGAGCACAAACCTACATATTTCCTCGATTTAGAATACCAAAATGTGGACGTGTTATTACCTATGAGGACTAAAATGCTAGTGTGTTCCGTATGGTGAGTGGAGATAACCGAAGACATATTTTACTGGAAACAATTTCGATTCTTATTTGCGGATAAGATGTAGATGTCTATTGCATTCACTTAACATCAGGTGGATTGTGTGCTCCTTTGTCACCCTTATTTCTTTAATTGATACCTGGATCCCTGAAAATAAAAACTCGACTCTTAGAACTCGAAACCAAAATCTCTAAATTCATTATTTTATTAAAATATGGAATGATTTGCCACCACCCTTAAAAGAAAATTTTAATATTAATTCTTCAACATTTAAAAAAAAGTTAAAATGGAGTTATTACACGAACAGAAATCTTTTTAGGCCGAATAACTGTATGTTTATTCTGTAATAAGTATTTTTATCTAACACATATTGACTCTATAGAGGTTTACCAACAATACATAATTAAGTACGATGTGCGTGCGACCAAAATATACCCAAAACAGCAGGGACTGGCTGAAAAACTGTGCTGAGCATAATGCCCAGCGAATACTGAGCCTGTGCCCGTTGCCTCACATTATAATCGTATACTGAGTAATATTAGTTAATCTGATAATTGTGAATGTTTTTTATTTTTTTATTTTAAGTCTAATAATTTTTATGTGCATACTTACTTTGTAAACTTTTAATTTGTAAACTTATTATTTTTTGGCAATAAATATTTATTATTATTATTATTATTTTAAAAATTTACAACCTTCCAAAATTTTAACTTACAGTGTAGTGATAGTGTAAGTATTTCTACTACCCCATTTCATCACCCCGTTGGTGTCGTAAGAGGCGACAGGGGGTAACAAAGAGGCGACAGAGGGTAACAAATCAGGAGATGGGCAGCAGCATCTTCCTTAACGACTACAAATAAAAAACTGCGTTTGCCAACTCGCTTGGCAGATGTGGCAACTATGGTAAATATGAGGCAATCTATGGGGAGGCTAGGTTCACCAGTGAACTTTAAAAGGCTGGAAGGGAACCTTTTGAAATTAATAAAACTGGCCAGTTATACCGCCGTTATCGGCAAACAAATTAAACGAACATAAGAAATAAAAAAACAGACACAGCCAAAATTATTCTTATTTCAATCTTAATTTTTTTAAATCGGTCAAGTTTTGGAGCAGGAAAAAGTTGCATATAGGAACTGGAGTTAGTCTCGATTCGTTCATTTGTTGACTCGATTGATTATCTAGTTCGACCGTTCGGGCAAATCGCTACAGCAATAGTACAAAAGTAAAGAGGCTACATTAAAATTATATTCTTCAAATTTCTTAGATTTTTTTTTATAGTATAAGAGTGACAAGCGAGCACACAGTCCACCTGATGCTAAGTGGTTGCTGTGGCCGATAGACATCTACATCTATCCTCGATTACGAATCAAAATGCAGATGCATAGTCACCCGTGAGGACTAAGATGGAATGCCTCGTTTCCAGTAAAAGGGGTCTCTGGTTCTCTACACTCACCATACGAAACTATTTCACGCTGGTATTCTGTAAGAGTGTAGTCCTTCCCCGGTGGAGACGACCCATTCGTGCTACAACTATACTATTAATATAAATGCTGCATGGCTCTACCATGTAAAATATTCTCATAATTTATTTTGACATATGTGACATATACATACTTGATTAATTATAAAAAGTCCTGATATTCTCATTGTAATTTTTATAAATAAATAATATTGTAATTTATACTAATTTTAAATGTTTTTCTCTATAACAGAATTCCACTGCTACTGATGACTATTGCGTATCACCAAATAGTGAAGGTGTTGTGGCGCTCAGACAAGATTCCAGGACAAGCAGAGACCAAAAAATTGGCCTCCGCTGAACAGAGTAAGTAAATGGAATTAAACTAATTTTACGGATTATACAGCGTTTAATTTTAACTTTGTTAATTCCCGACGTTTTGTTTTTTTTTGTGCCCGGGCCATGGGCGTGGTATATATTAGTAATTAAACGCGATATCCGTAATTGTTTTATCCAACGTTTTGTTCACTTTCATTCTTTCACTTTCTGTAAATATAAGAAATCATTAGAGTTAGTAAAGGAGACGGTCCATTTTAGGCCCAGTACATGTACACTAGACCGTAAAAAAGTGAAAAATTCTGAGATTTTATTAAAAATAAAATAAGACAGTAAATCGAACTAAATGACTTGCTAAAAACAAAAATTCAATCCCAATTTTTGATTATTTTACAAGATAGCGCCCTTCCTGTCATAAAATTGTATGATATCATGCCTGACAAGTGATATTTGTCAATAAATTGATCAATAATCTCATGATAGTTGACAGCCAATGTCAAAACGACATCAATTCGCCATTAGTTTGCAGTTTTTGGTAAGAATAAAATATTAATACCACTGAAATAAAGGCAAATTCGTGGATTTACATGAACAAAAGTGGTATATAATATTATTAAACGCTATGCTACGCTTCATACATTTGCGGACCGTCTCCTTTAGCGGTTTTCTTTAATCTTAACAATAATCACTTTTCATTTAGCACCGTGTCGCAGTACGAATGAGTCGGTTCGACTGGGGAACACGTATATTGACAGGCGGGTTGTTTCCACTTGTCCCATCTCCAGTTTCAGTTTCCCTTCGTCTCTTGCCACACCCACGGGACCATATAGGGTAGTGTATACTTTTACAACGCCACTACACTGTTATTTCGTAGGTGTAGGACGCAGCATCCACTTACCATCAGGTGAACTGTGTGCTGATTTGTCACGCTTTAAATTTTAAAAAACTGTATATCAATTAAATCGCGCTAGTTATGTTAAAATATCAAGCAAACTGTAATATTATTCGGAAAAGATTAAAACATCGATCACTTATGTTAAACAAATTCACAAACATCCACAAAGTAAACAAAGTTTACTTTGCCTGTTTTGTGGCTTCGCTTGGTTGGAATTCAAATGCACATAAATAATTTACCTTAGCCCCATATATTTGTATATATTTATTTACAAATATATGGGGCTAAGGCTAAGTCTATATATTTGTAAAGATATTTATGTGCATTGAATTCCAGTCGAGCAAAGTATATATATATATAAAAAATATATATATATATTACATTTAATTCAAAAGTGATTTATTTTGCAAAACAGAATATAATCTAAACGGGATATTTAAAACAAAAATGCAGCAATATATTTTTAAATCAAAATTCCCACACACTCGAATTATCTCCTGTATCGTGGAGGCAATTTACATACATAAAATGCACAAGGACAAACATCCAAATCCGAAATAATTATTAGTGGGCCATAGAAATATTGCGGGATTCAAACGACGCACTTTTTTTTTTTTGCGCCCGAAGCAAATATGGGCAACCCTCCGGAAAGCGGGGGAGGGAGGTTGGGAATGCTCATAGCATACCACGCAGCCGGCTGCGTGGTTATGTGGTGACTTTTACCCACTAAACCCAACCTTTTAGGAATTGGCTTAACGATCTGACTAGAGATCTCTAAGCCGTATACGAACGCGACCCTCCTTGGCAGAAAGGAGGGCGCAAAAACGACGCACTTGAGTTACATTTGTTAATGTATAATATACATTTTTAGTTTTTATTGTGAAAATATCTGTGATTGATTTATTGTGTATAATAATATAGTTTTCTTTTTGTTTTCATATGGATATTAAAGTAGGTAGTAGTTTGTTTAGTTTAATTTTGTGTGTATTGTTTTCCGCAATTTTCTTATGAAATATAAATTTGTCTGTTTCCATTTTCAAAATGGGAGTAGAGTTGGTTAGTATTAATGGGAAATTACCATACTATTGTACCAATAGTAGGGGACGGTGCATGCCATTTCCGTACGCTTTCTTATTTGTTTTATGGCACACAAGAACGCCCAATGGATATTCGTATAGAAGTTGTGCGTCATATGACGAACAATTGGGATGAATTTGCTGTTATGTCTCATGACCGTCATGGCAACAATCACGGGACAAAAGAAGAGTGTACATTAGATATAGTTAGAACTACAATATATGTTAGAACAGTCTACATATGGCGGTTTTTGCAAGTAAGTTTCAGCCGGCCAAATATTTATATATTATTTTCATTCGAAGTGTATCGAAAAGGCAACCTTTATGCCAAATTTGGTACAAAAAACCAAAAGTTCACAAGCGGAAGTCTTTGATTATCAGCGAGAACACTCTGAAGTACATAAGCAGGCTGCAAGCAAATATCGGCGCAAACACGTTGAAGTGTACAGAGTATCACGGTACGTTTACACCAAAACCGATATTGTCGGCCGATGGCGGACAGAACTACCCGGACGAGTAAATCAGACGTGTATGTACCTACACTGCAACAGTTTAACACTTGTGCCGACATTGGACGTTGCCGGTATTCTTTTCTATTTTTCTATTTTCAATATCCATAGTCGTTTAGGGAGCTAACAACACTGACAGAAACAACAGAATAAAGACAAAATGATTATATTTAAACTATAAGTATACTCAGTTCAGCACTGTAGACGCCGGCAATCGGGCGAGAAATCCCAACAAGTTTGGATTCGACGGTTGATCGGCCGTTTTCGTGCGTTATCGAACGATGACGGTCGTGTATGTGTACGTGCTCTCTTTATTTTACAAGTGTGATTCGATCGTCCGAGTACGGCCGTTGTCACCCGTGCAAACTTCGGCCGATGACGGATTTGGTGTATGCGAAGCGTCACAGTTACGATATGAATGAAATCATGAAGGACAGCGAGTTGAAAGATGTCTGCAACCTTGGAATTCTAAAGACTTTTCCTGACTGAGTTATGATGGTAACATAGCGTACGATAGTGATAATACTGTTGTTTTGGAACCGATAAATATTAATGCAAGTGGTGTAAAACTCTCAAGCAAAAGAATTAATCTGTGGGAATGTGCTGCGATTCAGGAAAGCTCCAGCTCAAACCTATGCAAAAGCTTCCAGATCTTCTTTACTGTTTGATAAAAACCCTCCGCCCTGAGCATAATCACTTCATGGCTAGCATACGGTATTATAATAGTTGTTTTCAAATGACCTCATTTGGAGCTAAAAAGATAATACAGGTTGTTATTATGCATACATTCAGAGTGTAGGGCCAGGTGTATCATTTGGTTGGAAGTTTGCTTCCGCCACCCTAGAATGAACCACAGTTCTTACAAATATATTTTGTTGGTGATTTGAGACGCAATTACTTTATATAAAACCTGACTTGGTAAGGCAATTACAAGAAATGCTACATACTTATAATATATACGTAAGCAGGTGGCTGGGGGCCCAATTCCCCCCCCCCCCTCCTCCCCATCAATATGGTAGCGGAATTAAATGCAAGACTACCCCAGGAGGGTACCAGCACCCCTAAAGAATCCCTCACTGAGCATCCACGACCAAGCTATTCCACTCTTGAGCGTGGGTGCTCAGGCTGCCCAGCGTATTCTGGGGGAGCAAAATTCCGCTCGAGACCAAACCTGCTCGGAGTAAACGAAGCAATAAGTCAAAAGCGATCCCTGCCATGCTATCCACGAATTTCTGCAATATCAGGGGACTTCATTCAAACCTTAACGTCGTCAATACCATCTAGAAACGGTGAAGCCGGCCTTACTCTTCCTAACCGAGACACAGGTATCCTCTCCGGCTGATACTTTGTATCTCTCCTGCCCGGGGTACAAATTAGAACACTCCCATATGCCCCGGGCTGGAGTTTGCGTGTACGTCAGGGAGGACATCTGTTTTCGACGCCTCAGCAGCCTTGAAGGTACGGACCTGTCCATCTTATTGCTGCGCGTAGATAGCGACGACCATCCCCGCGTCTACGGGTGCCTCTATAGGTCCCATATCGGTAAGGTCGAAACAGACCGACTCATCGACCACGTCCAGATGACTACAGACTCCGTGCTACAACAGATCCCATCCGCAAAGGTCGTGATACTTGGTGATTTTAACGCCCACCACGCTGAATGGCTTGGTTCTTGTTTAACCGATCATGCGGGTAGATCTGTTTATGACTTTGCTTTGGCATATGGTCTGACAACGGGGGGATAGATGATGACCTCTTCCGGATGGATATGGTCGTCTCTTGTCTTCTCGGACAATTGTCTGATCCGGAGTACGGTGTCACTCAGGCTCTCATCGCGGTTGCGTAGTGCAGGTTGCCGCCGTGTTTGACATTATACTCGTAGGTCAGCAGATTGGGATGGGATGCGATCTTTTTTACATCTTACCCTTGAAGGCGGGTTTGCTTCTCGCTGGATGATCACAGCGTTGTTGCTGATTCTGTCACTGATGTGGTGCTACAGGGAATGGAACTTTTTATTCCATCATCTGTGATACCTATCGGAGGCAGAACCCAGCCTTGGTTTGATTGCTCCTGTAAAATTGCACTGCGTCATAAGCAGGAGTGCTACCAGGCCTGGGCTCACGCATCGACGTCTCGGGATGCAAACACCAGAGCCCTTAAAAAGAAGTACAATTCTGCCTCCAGGCAAAGTCAGAGCACATCGGCAGAATGGGAAAGAAACGAGTAGCCGGACAATTCTCAGACCTGTTGCTTAAAATAGGAAATCGTGATTTCTCGTAACTGGATAGTAGTATAATTCTCCCTACAGAGTTAGACACAATTGTTTCCACTGTAGAACAGCTAATAGCTAATAATTTATCCAAACATTAATATTATTGACGATAAACCTGCAGAATAAATACCTATGCGAGCGTGCCATCCTAATACCAAAAACGAACAAGCCTCAGTCATAAATGAAATACTTTTGAGATCCCTCGAAGGGGTCGAATATTAATATAAATTCGTCGACTCAGTGATAAACACCGATGATGCCATTCATTATCCGGTCTA